CTTCTTCTTCTTCTTCTTCTTCTTCTTCTTCTTCTTCTTCTTCTTCTTCTTCTCTTAAACACCCATATCATACACAGAACAGGCCTTGTTCAAGGAATACTTCTCGCAGAGAGAAATGATAAACATACGGGGAAAAAATAATGGGGACTCTACTGAGTGTCAAACTTCAAACTTTCTAGGAGAAGGAACTGAGGGTGCTTTCGTTCACGCCATGGCGTCAGTAAACAACGTATTGATACTTACGAGAGCGTTGAATATATTAACTTGTCTTATGTTTACCCTCTGCATCAAATTTCTTCTCCAATACATAATCTTGCAATAAGAGGCTTTACCAGATTTTTAAAAACCCTGTAATTTGTTTTACTTTACGTTACTGGGGTAGAAGAGACTGTTTGATAGGGATGTCTCATGCCTCCATCAACACGATCTAGCTCCTTTCGAAAGCTGACTGTTTCAACCATGTCTGTCAGGCCCAATGCTAGTGAAGTGGAATACTTCTTCCCATAGGACAGACGATTTTTTAATATCTCGATATCTAATCTTTTTCATATAAAATTACAACTCAGGTTTTCTGTGTACTGCGGCAAAGATCCTAACCCTTACACCGCATGGGCCGTGGGATCATTTGACTTGGGGTGAATGAGGCAGACAGACATCACATTATGCGCTGTATTTGCACTGTTCATTTCCTTGATTTGGTCACAGATCTTAAGTAAACCCAAACACCTCCGCGATGTTTCTTACATTGGATTAGAAAATAGCAAATGTCCAACATAATAAAACCGCCAGCTTCACTCCAAATAGAAAAGTAACGACACCCAGAAGGAAAGAATACAATATACTATTTAGATCTATCTTCCTATGGAGAATATTCTAAATCTCAATAGCGCTTTAAAAAATGTATTTCATATTTTGAGCGACAATCATTTTTCTATATATGGATTCCTTGTCGATGTCTCCAACTGTGCCAGTACCGTTGCCCTCTTTTTAAAGATCTTAATCTACTTAACTCTTAAATTTAGTTGACGGCATGTGCGAAAGACCAATTTATGAGCAGAGACGTTAGCTAGACCTCTATCAAGTCTCGGGGTTAGAAACTTTATAACTTCTTGACAGGATGAAGAAGAGCTAAATTTGAAGGTAAATGTTCTTACTTTTACAAGACATTTCGACGCTTGTTTCTTCTCTGCTTGAACTGCTTCTTCACGGTGTATTTATAAACACAACTATGCCCTCTCACGGAGAAGTTCTAAGGTGTGACTTTTGATTAAATCCTCTTCAATCCTTGTCAGGATCATATTCACCATAGCCAACTCTCAACTCAAACTTCGCCCTCTGTTTTCGCCTTCTGTCAAACTCCATCCATCTTCTGAGTGAACATTACGCCGGGTCGCTGTCTCAGATTCACAAAGTTCCATTCGCGGTATTTTATTGTTGCAGATAAAACCTTTTAACTCCGCGCCCATGGAGTAGTAAGATAACCTATACCCGGCGTGTTTGCTCTTTTCATTTCCTCGGTTTGATCACAGATTTCCTATTGTCCCCCAGCCCCCCGCTGTGTCCCGAGACAAAATTAGTTAATGGCCTGGAATCAACACTAGTCCAACTTTACTCTGTTCTTTGCCATGTTTTTTATTTCCAATTTCAGCGCTCTTTGTTTGACGTTCGCAAACACGGTATAATTCATTCTTTAAAGGATATTGTCGTTTCTCCTCTGCCCTGTCAGTGGGGCCACCCTTCAAACACGGATCAGATCACACGGAAAAGTACGGTTGTCGGGTATTGGGTGGATGTTTAAAAGACTAATCAGGGTCATTAGCTGTACATAGTAGCCTCGGTGCTTACATTTACGAGGGTTTCTGTGCCGCTGCTATTGAGTAAAGCACGTTTGGCAAATAACACACGCAAAACGTGTCATGAATTATCTTATCTCCCATCTGAACTCATCTCACACCGCGTCGAGTAACAGACAGATTTTGCTCAAAATTTTCACACCAGAGAATATGGACGGATATTTCAAGTGCTGAAATACAAAAAAAATGGGAAAGAAAGAGACGATGAAAGGTGGAGGGGTAGGGGGTGGGGATAGATAGATAGCAGACACACAGACAGACAGAAAGATAGACAGACAAACAGACAGACAGACAGACAGAAAGACAGACAGACAAACAGACAGACAGACAG